GTGTGGGGCACCTCAGACCTCAGCCCTCTCTTGTCCTACAGCTGAGTTTGATGGGGTTTTTTGGATATTGCCCAAAGTTCCTCCAAATTCAGCTCATCCTTGTAAAAGGCTGCTGAGCCTTTAGGGGAGGTGGCTGCTAGTTGGTGCCTCTTCTTGTAGAAAAAGTGACTTTAATTGCTGGACATGGAAAACACCAGTGCTGTGGAACAGCTCCTGCTGCATTGTTTATGCTGCTACTGCTCCTCTGCATAGACAAGTTTTAAATTTAATTTTAAAGAATTATGGATTATAGAATGGTTTAGATTGGAAGGGATCTCAAAGACCATCTTGTTCCACCCCTCTACCATGGGCAGGGACACTTTCCATTTCCAGACTGCTCAAATTTTAGGACCTGTGTTAGAGAGAAGTTATCCATGGGGCTGTACTGATATCCTTGAGGCTTCTTGGAGGACTTGTGTTCACCTCTGGCTGTAGCTGAACAAAAGTAGTTTGAATAAGTGCAGCCTCGTTTTTACACTGCAAATTATTGCCAGGTTTGTGGGGGAAGAGTTTTAATTAATCCCTCTGAGGAAAGCACTGAGCTGAGCTTCTCGAGGCTGCAGGACATGGATTGGACACACAGGGAATTGGTGGTGGAAGGAGGCAGGGCCTTTAGGCTGCCCCTGGGTACCTCTGTGTAGGGAGTGCCCTTCCTCCAGCCACAAAAGGGACAGGGCAGCAAAAACGTGGGGGTTTTTAGGTAAGTGTCTGTCTTTGCATGAAACTTGCTCTTGTTTGGAAATTTTTAAAAATACATATTTAAGGGTAGTAATTATTAGTCAGTAATTATGCTATGGAGAAATGGAGGACCAGACCCTACTTTTTAGGAGTGACCATAGATTTATCTTACTAGTTGGAGCTGTTGGCACCCACAGAAAAATAAACAGTTAATGTCATTGAAAGGGGAAAATTGGGGGAAAAAAAAATTCTGCAAGACTTTTTCATGCAACAAAATGACACAATGTTAGCTCCAATTGCATTGTTACCTGTGAAGAGCTGTGACTGCAGGCTGCCTTTGCTGAGGCTGCCCCAAAGCCCTCTCCCACTGCCTGGACAGGCTGTGCAGCTCTTCCCTGGCTGGGTACAGGTGTGATGTGAAGTGGCAGCCGATGACAGTGTGTGACTGTCATCCTGTGATTGTACCCACGAGCACCCAGCGTGTGCCTGCACGGGGGCTGCTGCTGCTCCCCTGGCACCACACTGCTCTGTGCCTGTCAGCTCCTGAGCTCTGCCTTTTCTTCTCTTGCAGGACTACGACCTCTGCATCAACTGCTACAACACTAAGAGCCATGACCACAAGATGGTTAAGTGGGGCCTGGGTCTGGACGACGAGAGCAACAACCAGGGAGAGCAGCAGTCCAAGAGCCCGCAGGAGTCGCGCAGGCTGAGCATCCAGCGCTGCATCCAGTCCCTCGTCCACGCCTGCCAGTGCCGCAACGCAAACTGCTCCCTGCCGTCCTGCCAGAAGATGAAACGGGTGGTGCAGCACACCAAGGGCTGCAAGCGCAAGACCAACGGCGGCTGCCCGGTGTGCAAACAGCTCATTGCTCTTTGCTGCTACCACGCCAAACACTGCCAAGAGAACAAATGCCCCGTGCCATTCTGTCTCAATATCAAACACAAGCTCCGACAGCAGCAGATCCAGCACCGCCTGCAGCAGGCTCAGCTCATGCGCAGAAGGATGGCGACCATGAACACCCGAAACGTGCCTCAGCAAAGTTTGCCTTCTCCTACCTCAGCGACGCCCGGTACCCCTACGCAGCAGCCAAGCACGCCGCAGACGCCGCAGCCCGCGCCCCAGCCCCAGCCCTCCCCTGTAAGTATGTCACCGGCCGGCTTCCCCAGCGTGTCCAGAACCCAGCCCCCCACCACCGTCTCGACAGGAAAACCCACGAACCCGGTGTCGGCGCCGCCGCCCCCGGCCCAGCCGCCGCCCGCCGCCGTGGAAGCGGCTCGGCAGATCGAGAGAGAGGCCGCGCAGCAGCAGCAGCAGCAGCTCTACAGGGTCAACAACATGAACAATGGTTTGCCTCCCGGCCGCCCGGGACTCGTGAACCCCGCGGTGGGCTCGGTGAACCAGATGCCGCAAGTCAGCATGAATGTACCCCGGCCCAACCCCGTGAGCGGCCCCGTCATGTCCAACATGCAGCCCGGGCAGTGGCAGTCGGCGCCCATGCCGCAGCAGCAGCCGATGCAGCCGGGAATGGCCAGGGCGGTGATGCCCATGGCGACGCCGCAAGCCGTGGCCGGGCCCAGGATGCCGGGCGTGCAGCAGCCGCCGCGCAGCATCACCCCCAATGCACTTCAGGACTTGCTGAGGACCTTGAAATCGCCGAGTTCTCCGCAGCAGCAGCAGCAGGTTCTTAATATCCTTAAATCCAACCCTCAGCTTATGGCAGCTTTTATAAAGCAAAGAACGGCCAAATACGTGGCGAACCAGCCCGGGATGCAGCCGCAAGCAGGGATCCAGCCCCAGCCCGGGATGCAGCAGCCGCAGACCGGCATGCAACAGCCGGGCATGCACGCGCAGGCGGGACTGCAGAACATGAACGCCATGCAAGCCGGAGTGCAGAGACCGAGCGTCCCCCCGCAGCAGCAAGGGATCGGAGCTATGAACCCCCAGGGACAGGCGATCAACATCATGAACCCCAGCCACAACCCCAGCATGGCCAACATGAGCCCGCAGTACCGCGAGATCCTGAGGAGGCAGCTACTGCAGCAACAGCAGCAGCAGCAGCAGCAGCAGGGAGGGGCCGGCATGGCAGGAGGGATGGCAGCTCACAACCAGTTCCAGCAGCCCCAAGGCCCGGGAGGTTACCCCCAAGCCATGCAGCAGCAGCGGATGCAGCAGCACCTATCCATACAGGGGAGTTCCATGGGACAGATGGCTCAGATGGGACAGCTGAACCAGATGGGCCAGCCCGGCCTGGGGGCGGACGGCGCTCCCAACATCCAGCAGGCCCTGCAGCAGCGCATCCTGCAGCAGCAGCAGATGAAGCAGCAGATAGGGTCCCCCGGGCAGCCCAACCCCATGAGCCCACAGCAGCACATGCTCTCAGGACAAGCGCAGGCGTCTCATCTCCCTGGCCAGCAGATCGCCACCTCCCTCAGCAACCAGGTGCGGTCCCCAGCGCCCGTTCAGTCTCCCCGTCCCCAGTCCCAGCCACCACATTCCAGCCCGTCACCCCGGATACAGCCCCAACCGTCACCGCACCACGTGTCTCCCCAGACTGGTTCCCCCCACCCAGGACTCGCAGTCACTATGGCTAGCTCCATGGATCAGGGACACTTGGGCAACCCAGAACAGAGTGCAATGCTTCCCCAACTAAACACCCCCAACCGCAGTGCGTTGTCTAACGAATTGTCTCTGGTCGGTGACACCACCGGGGACACATTAGAGAAATTTGTGGAGGGTTTGTAGCATTATGGGAGCATCACTTTTGTTTCTTCTTTCCTTTCGTGTTCTTGGATATTTTGTACTGAAAAATTCAGACATCTGGGTTGTTTTGAATCCTAGATGGAACTGCTGCTTCCTACAGATGGAAGAATTAATTGCTGTTTAAAAATAAAAAGAAAAAAAAAACAATACAAAGAATATATTTTTTTGTTAAAGCCAGGCGGTTAAAATATCTGGTCTCTTTTGTGGGTTTTTTTGGTTTTTATTTTTTTGTTGCTGTTGACTCATACCTTTTTTTTAACGGGGAAAACAAGTTCATTATATTCATATTTTTTATTTGTATTTTCAAGACTTTAAACATTTGAGTTTAAAAGAAGAAAAAAAAAATAATATTCAGAAACTGTTTCCTGAAATAATGCAACATTATAGCGTATCCCGGTAACTTTGACACATGGCGGGAAGATTTTTGTTTTCTATAGTGAACTCTGCAGGCGTTTGAAGTATTACCCCTGGGAAGATAGGAATTGACTCTTGCACACATTGGCCAACGCCAAAATCCTTGTCTTGCAGATGTAGAAATTGTTGCTTTGTTTCTCTGATAAAACTGGTCTTAGATGAAAATAGGGATGATCACTCTTAGGCCGTGCTGATCTGGATAGAGAAGAAACATTCTTTTCTTTCTTTCTTCTGTGTGAAACTTGAAACGAGGAAAGCAATTCTAGTGTAAATCATGCAAGCGCTATAATTACTATAAATAAGAAAATCCAAGAAGATTCAATCACTGTATAGAATGGTAAAAAGAAAAAAAACTCATTTCTTACTTATAATATCATATTGTTAAATAAACTGTGTGCAACAGACAAAAAGGGTGGTCCTTCTTGAATCCATGTACATGGTATTAACACTTAGTGTTTGGGTTTTTTGTTATGAAAATGCTGTTTTCAACATTGTATTTGGACTATGCATGTCTTTTTTCCATTGTATATAAAGTATTGCTTAAAATTGATATAAATTACTGAAGTTTTTAACATGTATTCTGTTCTTTAAAATCCATGTAAGAATGTTTAAGGTTTTTATTTATTTATATATTTTTTTCGATCATGTTCTTTGTAAGACATAGCTATGACGATTCACTCATGGCCCGGAGCAGCCAGAGGCAGCGGTGGGAGAGGCAGATCCATGGATATTGTAGCCAGCATGTCTGTTTGACAGCACCCTTAGCCATCGTTTCCTTCAGGGCAGGGACAGGAGAGGGGAATGGTTCCCAGACATCGACTCTTCGCAGGTGTTCATCCACAAGGGTTAACTGGAATAAATTATTAATAGCCGTTGCTTTTTAAAAACTGCATTAATTTAGAGAAGGATCACCAATGAAAGGAAAATAGAGAGTATTGAGTTAATTCTAGGCTAATTTATTTAGTCTACAGTAAAATATGAACCTATTGACTTTAACACTATTTTTCTGCTGTTAACTCTGAGTCTAGATTTGAGGGTTTTCTGTGGAATAAAAAATAACAAATCATGTACATGTTCCCTTTAATATCCTGTCACCACGCCCTCACGTCCCTGGGATGCTCACTCCTCCTCCCCTCAGTGAATCGCTTTCTCGGAGTTAAAAGGTCCAGGGAAGGTTTCCCAGCGTAGGTGCGAGCTCGGACCGGGAGGAGCCCGGAGCGCCGTCCCTCGGAGCGGGGCTGGGCTCCGGGTGCCCGGCAGGGCGGAGCAGTGAGCCCGGCGCGCTGTGCACACGAGGCTTTTCACAGCCCCTTAGCGCTTCCTCCAGCCTTAACGTTTTTATCGGGACACTGGTGGGGGAAAACGGGGGGAAAAGAGCAAATCTTTATCCCTGTCTTTGTCCCCGTGCGCTGCAGCGCCACTTCATCCTTTTTAACTGGAGAGAGTCTCTGCTTCTACTTTTACTTGCAAACTTTTAACTCTTGTACCTTTTTCACGACCATTGGATTCATCTGCCCACACAATTGTCTTCAGCAATTCAAGATGTCAAAAGTTGGGGCTGGGGTGAGGTTAGTGAACACTAAACCCAAAGCTTGTCCAAAAGAAATTGCTGTAAAAAAAAAAACCAAACAGAAAAAAAAAAAAGATGGAAAGCCCTGATGCTGTGTCTCATGCTGTGTACTTAAAAAGAGGAAAAACACTATATTTGTGATCAAAAAGAGGAAACTTGAAATGTGCTGGTGTTTCTAATAAAAGCTGGTAAAACTGCTTGGATTGAAGGATGGTTCCACTTGGCTGGTGGCCCTGAGGATCAGCGGAGCCTGACGCCCCAGGTTGAGATCCCTGCGCTCAATCTCACTAATTCCTCTAAGCAGCCTCCATTTAAAGGCAGCAGCACCAATTCCGGATTTGGATAAGCTGAGTCCTCTTTGGAGCACAGAGCTGTGGCCAGGCTGCAGCTCGCTGGGTGCCCAGGCTGGGGAAGAGTGGAAAAAAACAATGCCTGGGAAGCAAATGTTGGAATGAGTTTTCAGTGCAGCTGAAGTGTGGCGAGGTGCCAGCGCCAAGGGATCGATGCAGATCCGACACCCAGGTGTGTTGGGTAAGAGCAGATGGTTCACCAGGGAAAGGAGGGAAATGCAGAGCTGAAATCAAACCCGAGGAGGGGCTGGGGCTGCAGCCTCAGGGGGGCTTCACTCCAGTCTCCTGTGAGTGTTGATACAAAACTCAGCATATCTGGATGGGCATGACTTTTCCAAGTCCCTGTCTGTTTGCTGGGGAGGTAGGGTCAGTAAGGAACAGCATCCTAGAAATGGGAATTGATAAGGTGAGAGTGCACTGGAGCTTGGTGCAGGAGCTTTACCACCGAAGAGGGTGGGTAAGGCCTTCCCCTCACTGAATTCTGGAGTGGAAGAAAGTGCTTAAATCTGAACGTTGAGCTGCAGTGATGGTTCTCTGCTCTCTTCCCGGGCTGCCCACACTGCTCTGCTCTGGCTCTGGGAGCTCTCCCTCCCAGCTGGGCCTCCCCTCGAGGCTCATCCCTGTCCCACCGGGACACAGATCTGCCCACAGCGCTTGAGTGAGGGCTCCCCGCGCCCTCTGCCTCCGGACGCGTTAGAGCACAGCGGGCAGGAGGAGGAGCCCTCCGGCCACACGGGCTGGGACAGTCCCCCCTCGGTCACTGTCAAAGGCAGCAGTAGGTGCTGTCCCTTCTAGCCGGTGCCAGTGGACAGCAGTGAGTGACAGCAGTGAGTGACAGCGGTTCATGGCTTACAGGGAGATCTGGAGGTGCGTTGGGTGCTTCTCCCAAAGCAAATTTCAGCCCTTGGTTCTTCAGGGCAGGGAAGCTGGAGCAGCCATCCTGGAGCTGGGGGAGCACCGCAGAGGTTGCTGTGCAGGGCAATCCGTTTTTCCCTGCACTTCTCACCTGTCAGGAATTTAAAATGCAGAGCAGGAATTTAAATGCCAGGGCAGAGATTGAAGCAAGTTGGAGCCAACTCCCCCGTAACTGAAACGATCCTAGGCAGAGGGGAGGATCTGTATGAGATCCCCTGCGATCCCTGCAGGAGCACAGTTCATGGCTGATGGTGAAGGCACACCCAGGTGAGGCAGGAGGAGGATTCAGGTGTTTCACAGCAGGGACCAGAGCTCTGACAGCGCTGCTCTGCGTGGGGTCAGCGGGAGGTAGCGGTGAGCACAGCCAGAGGAGGGAAGCGTTTGTAACCAGCTCTGAAGTCGTTTTGGTTTTGGCTGCAGCACAGGGAGTCTCGATGAAGGCCTGGAGTTGGTTCCAGGTGGAAGTGCAGCCAGCGGAAGGGTGTCGGAGTGATGCAAAGGCTCGTGCTGGGTTTGTTGCACCTAATCCATAACGCTGAGTGCCCCACAAACCCCGTTCTGTGTGGGTGTTTTTCAGATATGAACCTCCACAAAACACTCGGCTCGGCGTGGTCCCAAAAGATCAGCTGCAAGCACGAGTGGATTGCACACGGAGCTTTCCAGGGAGCTCCCCCAGGCCTGGGATTACAAAGCTGCCTCTGTTCGGTGGGCACGGTTCCCTCCTGACAGCTCCTCGGTCTGGAAGTGGTTAGTGCTCACCGAAAGAGACCTGCTCCTTCTTTTATTTTTGGCTGTGGTGTTCATCGAGGCCAGGCTCTGCTCTCACACACATTTCAAATTCAGCTCTCGCCAGAGTGGTTCATTTCCTCGCTCACCCACATCCCACCCAAAGCCTTTGTCCAGTACCTCAGCCCCTTAGATTTCGATGATGTACACTAAAACAGGCCCGGGGAGATGAGGAGTTTGAGACAAATGGAAAAATGGGATGTTAATCAATTGGCCTAGAGTCGAACATGGTGCCGGCAAAGGTGTGGCACGCAGGGGCTTTCTGAGGGCTGCTCCCAGCCCGGCACAGCCTCTCCTCGGCCCTCAGCCCCTTCTGTGGGGAAACAGGGAGAGCCACGGTGCCCCGAGCTCTGCAGGCTGTGACTGCTGGGCTCCTACCGCAGCTCGTCCCCAAGGGCTGTCCTACAGGGAGAGCAGGGCGCGTTTGTAACCTGGACTCCTTTCCTAACAAGTCCTCAGAAACACGAACGGGATTTTAACAATCACAACAGGAGCGGTTTGGCAACGGCATCCTGGGCTTGAGGCAGAGCCCTGGAAGAGAACCCCCGTGAGGGCACCCAGGCGGGACCCTGAGGGGACGGAGCCCGTGCTGCGAGGAGACTCGGCCCGAGCCGTGAGGGACCGAGGCCCGGTGCCCGTGTAGAGCTCGCTCGGGCCGTGAGGGGACCCGTGGGGAGCCCTCCCTGAGGGAAGCAGCGCGCGGGCTGAGGCCGCCTGACGTCACCGGGCGCGCGTCAAGCGCAGCCCGCGCGCGGGGGACTGGGCGCGCCCCCGTCCCGTGACGTCATCAGGTGGCGCGGCGGGAGGGCAGCGCGGGCATGGCGGCGGCGCGGGGCGGGCGGTGTCTGCTCGCGGCCCTGCGGCGCTCCGGGACCGCGCCCCGGCTGCGCCCGCCCGCAGGTGAGGGGGGGACGGGCGGCGTGAGGGGCGCGGGCCCCGCGCTGAGGGGGCGGCCGGACCTCCATGGCTCGGCCCGGACGGGCGCGCCTGCCCGGAGTTGCGCTCGGCCTTGCGCGTCCTCTGGAGGTGCGGAGGGTCCGCGTCCCGCAGGCAGCGCCCGGTCGCTCTCGGCTGCTGCTGCCGCGGGCCCGGCAGCGCGCACAGCGCCCGGCGAGCTGAGCCGAGAGCGCCCAGCGCTCCTTCCCGGGGAGGGACGAGTTCTCCTGGGGCTGTGCAGGGAATAGCGCGGGCTGGTGCGGGGCAGGGAGCGAGCTCAGGGCCATGTCCTGTCCTGCCTCATACGGGGTGTACAGCATGCTCCGGTCGTGTGGCACGGTGAGGTTCATGCCCTGGCTCGATAAGGGGTGTGTAATATATCCCTGTTTATGTCCTGGTTCGTACAGCACTCCCAGTTCATCTCCTGACCTTTCTAGGGTGTGCAGGACATCCAGAGGTACCTGCTGGCTCATACAGGCTGTACAGCACATTCACATCGGGTGTTATGTCCTGGTGCACGTCCCTGCTCACACAGGGAGCACAGCCCAGCACCTGCAGGAGAGTAGAAGGCAGAGAGAAGCACCTGCATGAGAGTAGAAGGCAGCAGCAGCGTTGCTGTTCTCTGGCCATATCAGTACCAGGGGAGTTTACAGATGAGCCTGAAGGGTTTGTGTTTGCCAGGGGCGCACTTGGAATTTCACCTGAGACAGCTGACAGGAGTGAGTGCTAAGAAAACCCAAACCCTGAGGCCTCAGTTATGGGATGTGCTCCCTTATCAAGGCCCTCATGCACTGGAAATGTGTCTGTGAGCTGCCATTAACCTAAAGCATGGTGAGCAGTGTCCTGCCTGTCAGCAGCCCGTGCTGTGTTCCCTTATCTTGTGTGGCCCCTAAGTGACAGATCTGCGTGTTGTTGCTGTGGTCTGTGATTTCCCTGCAGGTTATGAAGAGAAAACGTGACAGGGGAAATTGTGTAACAAATAGGGTCACTTTCAGGGTCGAGTTGTCAGGTTTATTGTGTCACAGAGTGCCACTTGGGTGTTTCTGGGCAATCCAGCTCTTACTCCGCAGAAATCCCCAGAGTCTTGTTAGCATCCATGTCTGGAATCAAAGCTGCTGCCCCTGGTGGGTCAGACCCTGCAGCAGAGCTGAGTTCTATCCCTTAAGCTGTCATTCAGCCCTCAGGGGAGAAGCAGTGAGCAGAGGCTGTGTGGGGTGGGGATAAGAGGGAGAGGCAGGGTTCTCCTTTGGGCTGTCCTGGCTGCAGGCACAGCCCTCCCTCCCCTCACCGGGCAGAGCTGCAGTGTTTGCTTCAATTCAGAGGCTGGGGCTGGTGCAGAGCTTGTTGGGAGCTGTGTTGGTGTGAGTGGGTCAGGCAGGGAATTCTCTTCTCCCCACACTCTCAGGGATCTGGTGCCCAGCTCTGGAGCCCTTTTGTGTGAGGAGATCTGAGCTGGGAGTGTTTAATTGCTGGAGCTTTTCCTGCACCAGCTTCCCCAGGCTCCTGCTGACCCAAATTCTTCTCTTTTGTTTTGAGCCACAAATTGCTTTGTGCAGGGTTTCCCACCATGGATCTCTGCCTGCTGCTGGGCTCTGCTCACTGCAGGGCTTTTCCAGGAGAGGCTGGGCTGTGTTCCTGGGGGATCACTGAGGGCTCTGGATTGAAAGGAGCCCCTGAGGGCTTTGCTGTGAGTGTGTGAGGCAGGTCTGTGGCTGGGGATCACCTGGGATCACAGAGAGGTGGAATTTGGGGTGCAGTGGGGGTTTCTCCACCCTCACAGTGCAGTGAGGGGAACAGGAAGGGGTGTGGGCTGTGCTAAAGCTCCACATTTGACTAACTCACTATCAAAAGCCCTGATTTGCCCCAACACATCACAGTGCATATCTGGGGCAAGAGCCATTCCTTCTTTGTCACCTGGGCTTAGGAATTTCTTTCTGAGGCTCGTTATGACTAGCACATTCCCTGTTACCTCAGCAGGTGCTTCTCAATAGCTCTTGTGTGCTGATAATTGTGGTTTTATAGCAACCCAGAATAGCCAGGAGCCTTTTCTGCTCCCTTGCTCCAGGCAAGGACTCTCAAGAGGGAAATGGGCTGAAGGTGCTGCAGTTTGTATTTAATGAGCTGTGTCTCCCTGCCAGGGGACAGGCTGCTAATTAAGGATGATAAAACCAAACATTGCACAAATCTGACAGTAACTTCTGAATTGATGGCTGGTG